ATGATGTGTATCTTTGGTCTTGTGAGAATGGTGCACATCAATGGGAGTATCCGTTAAAATATATCATGAAAAAATTTAAATAGTGCCCTCTATGTTATCATTCAATCAGTGAACACCAATGCAAATATATTTCGAAGATCTGCTAGGAAAAAAATTCCTATCCTATAGACCGTCATTCTTGGATGGAATGCATTTAGATGACTATAATGAAAAATTGCATCTTGCGTTTGAATTTCAGGGTCTTCAGTACTATCATCACAATAGTTTTTATCACCAGAGAAGTGAAAATTTAAATTTACAAAAGATACACGATCAGAAGAAGCGGGAAATCTGCAAGAATCAAGGAATATGCCTCATTGAAATTCCCTATACAGCTGATCTCCTATTCTATATCAAACATACTCTAATTGAGAAAGGGTTTTTGAGTGAAACGAAGTCTAATCCCCTCCCTCAATCAGTCAATTTTGGTGAACTGAATTCGCTGAAATTTTACTAAGAAAATTTACTTTGCTTAATATATTATTATTAATATTTAATTTAGGAAATATGAAAGCTGAAAAGCTTGATCCAGTAGACAAAATTATTCTCCATATCGATGAGATTAAAGATACAAAAAAATTTAATTCACTAAATTCAACTCCTCAATGGCCCTTCACAATATTAGTTAGTGGTCAGACCAATTCAGAAAAAACTAACAAAGTCGTGAATTTATTATTGGAAAATAAGCTATATCAGATATTTAATAAAAAAAAGGTGATACTAGATATATTTTAAATGACGACCTTGTTTTGATCAACTACCATCTTAATGAGCCGAAATACCTATATCTCAAATCTGGATATCAGATAATTGCAAATAGCCCAAAACAATATCACATTTTGGGCAATAAAGCCTGATAAAATTCCAAAGATAGATTTGTTTTCTCCAGAAAGAGGAATAGTTGTTATATTTGAAGACCTATATGCCGATTTAAAAAAGTCTAGAAGAAGATTGTTTCTTATTTTACTGAAGGACGTCACAAAAATATAAGCCTAATCTATATAATACAGAGTTTTTTTGATTGTCCAAAGCTAATAAAAAAAGAATTAAATTACTGTATACTCCTGAAAGTAAGTATCCTCTGAAAATAAGCACTCTTACATTTATATATATGCTAAAAATAAGCACCTCTCAAAAAATTTATTAAAATTCATAAAAGAAAAAATACAAATAAAAGAAATATTAATTATTACATATTATTATCATTAGCATTATTATAATCTTCATTTTCTTTATCAGAATTTTCCAAATTATCAGTATCACTAATATCTAAATTATCTAAGATATCTGATATATGACATTTTTTAAAAGAATTAATGATTATTTCATTTGAAATTTGCTCCTATGATTGTTTTACCTATTTACATATACACATCACTAAATTTAACACGACGAAGATTACCTCTGACAGTTTGACCAGTACCACCATTAGCCATCCACATATGCTATGCTTTTCTAAGGTTATCCTTAAATGGTTTGTTAATTGCTACATCAAGAGGTTAACATAAACTGGTCAAACCACCTGAAATCACAGCTAGATTATAACCATTATCTTTGAACTTTTTTTTTACTGATTCCTCTAAATGCCCTCTAAAGGAATCATAAACCATTAATATTGGCGCACTGGATCCATTATTATTTCTTATACTTTCAAGATAATCAATATATCGCTTCATTAACTCAGAATCCATCCAGCCATTTTCCTGAAACTTAACAAATATATCAGATGGAATGTATTCACCTTGTGCTAATCTTTTCCCTTTGAATATGCAAATCGGAGGATATTTTATTTCATCTATGTATAAACAAAATTTTAATTTAATATTGTAATTTTAAAATAAAAAATTAAATATATTTTTCTAAAAAATTTACCTGCAGAACATGTTAAGACAACAGTAAATCAGTTTTTTTCATTACCAGTTGCATGAATGTATACAGTCTTTTCACCTTTTTGATTGATTGTAAAATTCCCAGCTATATCAAACCAGAACAGAGTTTCATTCATATTGAAAATATTATGTAAGTCAAAAGATTTTTCTATTATAAGACGAATAATAAATTGGTGAAATTTTACTAATAATTCTTCAGTTTGTGCAGAAAGTTTTTGTGAAAATTTTGTACGTCTCCGCCAAGCTAATTTATACCTCTTCATAAATGCAGACAACCAATGATCTGATGTTTTAAAATTCTCTGCTGCATTATCTTTTTCTAAAATTTCTAACATTTTAACTTTTGCAATTGCATAAGTTACTGCTAGACTAAAGATGGGAACTGTAATTAATATGTTGCAACTTTTAATGTTGCAACTTACGTTGCAAATAGTTTTAACCTA